TTTGTTTCTTCCATCAATGAGTCCGTATTTGTCTCAAGACGGAGTTTATTGACTAGGTGCTCACCTCTTGGTCATTTCGACTCTTGTGACTGGGTCTCCTTTTCCCTGGTACCTTCTCCTTTTCCCTGGTATCTCGCTGTACACTGTACCTCGGACACTGCTCACATTCCGCACAGAAGCGAACAGACAAACACGACCCTTAAAGTCGCACTGCAGAGTTGCACTCCGAGATCCGGGCATCAGACCCGTTCGGAGGCTTCCAGAGGCTCGATTGACATGGCTCGGGTGAAGCTGCAAGGAAGCGGTGCCTGCATGGTGATCCAGCGTACTGGACGACGTGTGTTATCCACTGGTTCTTGCCAGATTCTCATATCCTCGGGTCTGGGGCAGCTGGCTGCGTTCTCGGATGGCTCGATACCTCAAAGGTGGAATTCGCTTTCGGAAGTTTTCAAAATGCCGATCTGAGTGCCCGAACGTGGTAGACCCGAGTTCAGATAATACCTCATCATGCCACATATCCTTTTTGCCCCTTAATATAAAGACGAAGCGAGTAATTCGAACTGAATAAGCTTCATCTCCAAATCTCTTTGATTACTGAGAGATATTTGATATGCTTTGGGGTTACTTGCCTGAGAAGGCCAGCATGGGACATTTCGTCCGAACATGCCTGAGCTTCTTACCCCACACCTAAGACACACCTGGGGAACCCTTGCCATCTCTCGCGACTTGGAGAAAGCCGCCCGAGACCGAATTTTGGGGTATTCGCCGTCAACTACGCAAGCCAACTTCCAGCCGCTCCAAACAGCAAAACTTACTCAGGGTGCGTGCCGTGGCATGAACTTCGAATACGCAAAAGTCAAGACTAGCTACACAACGCACCTCAAATGCGTAGCGGCGGTCATGGAGAGCTCTGACTGGCCTTGGCTGGGATCTGGGGTCGGGGGGCTTGGATGCGGGGCGGGGAGGAGAACGGGAAAGGGCTAAAAGGTGGGGATCGATCGTCGTGGTTCGCGGGGAAACTCTGGCCGACTAGGGTTCTTTCTTAGCGACGAGAGGGGCTTGGAGAGCAGATTCGGAGAAGCGAGGTTCGTTTACATCAGACCACGGCAACATCGAGCGTAGATGAGAGGGTAACATTGACCGGAGATGAGGTGATGTCAAGCCACTTGGCGCGGGGACGGCTGATGGATGGACACAGCCGGTATCCGACAAACCCCGCTGGCTCACCGCTGGAACAGGCCGGCAGACCTGCGACGGCGAGCTAATACGGCATCTCATGACATGTTTGAAAGGAATCCTGAAGTTGAGCCGGTTCTATGCCATCTAACCCTAGATATCTCATGCAGATAGCATCATAATTTCATAAATGATTACCATTCCGCCTTAAAGCTCCGCAATGGTGATCTTCCCGTTGAGGAGCGTCATGTCCTTCAGCTTGCCGTCCGCTCCCACTTCCAAAACACCGAGCTCCTTGCCCTCGCTGTCGACCACGGTCGCCTTGGCCCCCTCTTTGACCTGATACAACCTGACCTCGACGTCCCGGCGGTAGTCGTATACAGCACCGACGGCGTTGGAGCTGCCCAGCACGAGAACCGTGTTCTCTCGGACATAGAGCGGGAGTGTGCCGAAGCCGTGTGTCTCCTTGAACCAACCGGGTCCGTCGCGGGACTCGCCAGAGAAGTAGGAGGTCCACTTGCCCTTGGGCAGGTAGAACTCCACCTCGCCCGACTCCTCAAAGATGGGCGCCGCCAGGATGCTGGGGCCGAGCATGAACTGTCTGTCGAGGTACCACGAGGTCGGGTCGTCGGGGAACTCGATACACATGGCGCGCAGGGACAGGGGGATGCCCTGCTCGACGGCCGCCTGGGCCTGCGAGAAGATGTAGGGCATGAGGCGCGACTTGAGGGCGGTCCACTTGGCCAGCGTCTGCGAGCAGCCCTCGTCGCTCTGGTCGTCGTCGTCGATGACCCATGGCACACGGTACGAGCTGCTGCCGTGCAAACGGCTGTGGCTGCAGAGCAGACCCATGGCCACCCATCGCTTGTAGATCCAGGGGGGCGGGTAGCCCTCGAAGCCGCCAATGTCGCAGCTCCAGAAGGAGAACCCGCTGAGGCCCAGGCCCAGACCGCCGCGGATGGACTCGGCCATCGCTTCCGGTGTCGACTCGCAGTCACCGCCCCATTGCAGGGGGAAACGCTGGGTGCCAGCGCACGCTGCCCTGGCGAAGAGGACGGCCTCGTTTTCACCGTAGCGCTTCTGCAGCGCCTCGTACACGACCTTGTTGTAGATGAAGGCGTAGTAGTTGTGCATCTTGACGGGATCGATGGCCTTGTCGTGCCATTCGACGTCCAGCGTGGGAATGCGCTCTCCAAAGTCTGTCTTGATGGCGTCGACGCCTTGGTCAAAGAGTTTGTTGAGGTTCTCCTCGTACCACTTGCAGGCCTCGGGGTTCGTGAAGTCTACCAGGCCCATGCCGGCCTGCCACAGGTCCCATTGCCAGACGTCGCCGTTCTTGCGCTTCACGAGGTAGCCCTTTTCCGCTGCCTCATTGAAAGCCGCGCCGTGCTGTGCGATGTAGGGGTTGATCCAGACGCAGACTTTTTTGCAGAGGCCGGATTCCTTGAGACGTGTGATCTGCCCCTTGGGATCGGGGAAGCGCTCGGAATCAAACACAAAGTCTGTCCACGTAAAGGCCTTCATCCAGAAGCAGTCGTAGTGGAAGACGTCTACGGGCGAGCCGCGGGCCTTCATACCCTCGAGGAAGGTGTTGACCGTCTGCTCATCGTAGTTGGTGGTGAAGCTCGTTGTGAGCCACAGACCAAAACTCCAGCTCGGGACCTTGCCGGCTTTGCCCGTCAGAGTCGTATACCGCTTGAGGATGTCCTTGGGCGTGGGTCCGTAGATGATATACCACTTGAGCCTCTGGCCCTCGACCACGGTCTGCAGGCGGTTACAACGCTCGCTTCCAATCTCAAGGTCTACCTTTCCCGGCGTGTCGATGAAGACGCCGTAGCCCTTGGAGCTAAGCCAGAATGAGACGTTCTTGTAAGCCTGCTCGCTGGAAGTGCCGCCGTCGGCATTCCAAAGAGAAATAGACTGGCCGACCTTGTTGTAGGCGCCGAATCGCTCACCGAGGCCGTGGATTGTTTCACCGACGCCGAGTGTGGTCTGGGTAAACATGTAGTGCTTGAAGTTGCGCATGTCCCCGGTCTGCATTGGTGTGCTTGGCGCAGGGTTGTATGCCAGGCCTACGCTTCGGCTCCCAAGGGACGTCAGCCGCTTGGAGCCGTCGGTACTGTGGAACTGGATGTCAAAATCCGGGTGGATGGTGGCGGACAGCGAGCCCGAGGATAAAGTCGTGCCCTTGTCGCCCTTTTGGATCTGTGCCTCAACTTCGGGTCTTCCATCAGGGAAAAGCTCAAAGTGAGGGCCCTTGTTGAGGGCGCCGGCCCAGTGAGTTGCTTCGACTGAGATGACGCCGTCAAACTCGGCCTTGACATCCTGTCTGGGTATGAGTGACATGGCTTCCAGGAATGAGCCGTTGGTTCGACTTACAATAGTGACGGTGCTCGCATTCAGCGTGTGACCTCGAGACTTGATTTTCCTCGTCGGACACAGCAGGCTGAGGCCCCTTCCGCCCTCGATCTCGGTAGTGTAGTAGACCTCCTCCGCATACTCCGTCGTGGTGCCCTCGGCGGGCAGCCACATTCCATCGCGGAGGCGGACCATGGCGAAGCGTTTTTGCAAAAAGGAGGTATCTCGACGGGCAAACTGGCAGCTACCAAAAGGTTTAGAAGATCAAGACGCAGCTCGACCAGGCTGATGAGGACCGAGTGAATCTCGTCTCTTGTACGACGGCCTTGGGGCGAGAGCAGAAGAACCAGGCGGAGTAGGCTCGAGTTGCACGGCGGCGTCCCGCTGTCGGGGCTATCGCCAGCGAATCCGGTGCCCTCAATCCCGCCGGTATCCGCAATGCAGCGAGCCTCGGCCGCGAGGCCACTGATTCAGTTTAGCCATTGTGAGGGACCGATTGGCTGCGGCGTGCGGCCCGACAGCGCAGGATTGCGTGAGTGGGTTGGAGTTTGTTGGTGACTGTGAGAGCGGGAGAGCAAAGAGGCATCAGCAGGCCACTCTGCCGCGACTGCGGAGATCTGGGACCATTGGATCTCTTCGCTGTGGGGTCCCTGCCGTCCCAGCGCCGTTTAGCGTTCCTTCCTAGGTCTTCAGGCGGGCCAGCGTGCCCCAGCGAGCTTCCCCAGCGAGCTTTTGCTTCCCCCGCAGTGGTCGGATTTGGGCGGTTCTCGGGCTCCGGATGAGTAGGGGCCGCGAGCACCGGGATTGGTGGAAACCAGCCGACAAGGGTCCACCCGCCAAGCACCGGCTATGCGCCCACCCCAAGCAAAAACCCCTAGTCGTGCGCCTGCAGATCTGGGGCCACCCGCAGCTTCTCCAACTTCAACCCCAACTCAGCTTCCCCTCATGCTACACGCCGTACATCGCCAGCTTCACGAGCAAAAATGGAAGAAAAAATGGCCTGCTTCGGTTCCCAGTCTGCAGTCTGTAGCTCCTAGTCCTCGTGAGGTCACCGTTCGTTCGTCTCCAACACCGCCACTGTCCCCAAGAAGCCGTGTGCAGGAACGGTCAGGGGTCGTGTACTTCCACCCAATGGACAACAGAGAAGACCGCTGCTCCGAGCAAATTAGCATTACATCGCTCCAGACATTGCTTTCCGGGGTGGACTAGGGATTTGTGATCGATGCGGAGAAGACACTCTCCCCATCGGCTGTTTGCCCCAAAGCAATTACGTCTATTTGCTTAGGTTCCTTGGCCGTGGCATCATGTCGCTCGCCTTTGCCGACTCGCCGGAGTGCAGACCAGCAATTGCGAGCGTATTAATACCCTCCAACGGCGCGCGTCATCCTGAGTCGCGTCCACTGACCTCTGGAGCCCTAGCCGAACGTCACCCTGAGTTCCATTGACCGGACATCGGAGCAGGAATCATGAAGTTCTCTCTGGCCCTCGCCTCGCTGGTTGCGCTCGCCAGCGCCCAGAACAGCACATCCAACAGCAGCACGCCCATCTACAAGGACCCCAAGGCTTCCATAGACGACAGAGTCTCGGATCTTCTCAAGCGCATGACCATTGAGGAGAAGACGGCCCAATTGCTGCAGGCTGATATTCGTGACTACCTCAACCTGACCGATGGCCGCCTCAACCAGACCGGCCTGGCTTGGGCTGCTGAGCACAGAGCCAACTCCATCTGGACCGGTCTCTACGCGACCCCAGAGACGATCTCCCAGGGAGCAAAGATTGGCCAAGACTACCTCGTCCACAACACGACTCTGGGTGAGCTTTTCGCGAGTCAATTGAGTTGATTGGTGCTAATACTGCACAGGTATTCCGGCCTTCATCCAGAGCGAGGGTATTCACGGCTTCCTGGCCCTCAATGCCACCATCTTCAACTCGCCAATCGCCATGGGCTGCTCGTGGAACCCTCTCTTGGTCGAGGAGATGGCCAAGGTCATTGCCGTTGAGTCCAAGGCTCTCGGAGTCAACCAGATCTTCGCCCCCGTTGTCGACTTGGCCCGCGAGCTGAGATTCGGCCGAGTCGAGGAGACCTACGGCGAGGATCCCTTCCTGTATGTGCGCAAGAACCAGTGAAGTCGATTCGTACTGACAAAAAGCAGTGTTGGCGAGTATGGCTATCATTACACCAAGGGTTTGCAACAAGAGGGCGTCTGTGCCATGGTATGTTGCGAGTAAATTGAGTCGATTGGTGCTAATACTGCACAGGTAAAGCATTTTGCTGCTTTCGCCTCTCCTGAGCAGGGTGTCAACACGGCACCCGTTCACGGCGGTCCCAGAGAGCTCCGCACCACCTACCTTCCATCCTTCAAGCGCGCGATCCTCGAGGCCGACGCCTGGAGTATCATGTCCTCCTATAACTCCTACGACGGAGTGCCTACCATTGCCGACCACCACCTCCTGACCGAGATCCTCCGCGAAGAGTGGGGCTACGAGTACTATGTCATCGTAAGTTGGCCATAGTCTTTGGTATCGATATCGACTAACACCTACAGTCTGACGCTGGTGGCACTGCTCGTCTGGGCAACGCCTTTGCCGTCTGCGGAGAGACCGACGACGCGTGTATTACCATGAACGTATGTTTCCCTACAAAGCTGCTTCGCTTCAAATCTCTAACCATAACAGGCTCTCCCTGCCGGTAACGATGTTGAGATGGGCGGCGGCCGCTACAGCTTCCAGTACATCCCCGAGCTTGTTGCCAACGGTACTCTGCCCGAGGACGTCGTCGACACTGCCGTCTCCCGTGTTCTCCGTGCCAAGTTCAAGGCTGGCATCTTTGAGACCCCATACACTGGTGTGCCCGACGATGAGATCTTGAACTACCTTGGCACCGACGCCCACAAGAAGGTTGCCCGCGACCTCGACGCCGAGAGTATCGTTCTGCTTGAGAACCACAACAACACTCTGCCACTGAAGAAGGACGCACATGTTGCTGTCATTGGACCTATGGCTCATGGATACGTCAACGTAAGACCAACAAGAGAACTACATGAGCAAGAGCTGACCATCAAATAGTATGGAGACTATGTCATCCACACGGCCATGGAGTACGGTGTTACTCCCCTCGATGGCATCAAGGCCGCCAGCGAGGGCCAGGTCACCTACGCCAAGGGTGCCGAGCGCTGGTCCAACGACGAGTCTGGCTTCGAGGAGGCCGTCGCTGCTGCCAATGCCGCCGACGTTGCCGTTGTCGTTGTTGGAACCTGGTCTCGTGACCAGGACGAGCTGTGGGCTGGTCTGAACGCCACCACCGGCGAGCACATTGATGTTCACGACTTCAAGCTCGTCGGCGCCATGGGCCGTCTCGTCAAGGCCGTCATCGACACCGGCAAGCCTACCGTTGTCGTCTACAGCTCCGGCAAGCCCATTACCGAGCCCTGGATCTCCGACGAGGCCGGCGCTCTGGTCCAGATGTTCTACCAGGGTCAGGAGGGCGGACACGCCCTGGCCGATATTCTCTACGGCAACGTCAACCCCTCCGGAAAGCTCTCGGTCGCCTTCCCCTATGACGTTGGCACCACTCCCGTCTACTACGACTACCTCAACTCTGCCCGCTCCTGGCCCAACCCAGGTAAGGAATACCCCAACGGCACCTTGGTCTTTGGCAGCAACTACGTCCTGTCTACCCCCCTTCCCCTGTACGAGGTAAGAAAGCCCCAGCCCGTCGTCTTGTCTATCTATCCTAACAACTGCAGTTCGGCTACGGTCTGTCGTACAGCACCTTTGACTACTCCAACGTCACCGTCTCATCCTCCACTCCCTCCGCGACCGATACCGTCACAGTCTCCGTCGACGTGACCAACAACTCTACGCGCGATGGCCAGGAGGTCGTCCAGGTCTACATCAAGGACGTCGTCAGCACCGTAGTTGTGCCCAACAAGGAGCTGCGTGGATTCTCCAAGGTCTTGATCAAGGCCGGCGAGACCAAGACCGTCAACATCGACCTGCCCGTCACCAACTGGGGACTGTGGAACATCAAGATGCAGTATGTCGTTGAGCCCGGCGACTTCAAGATCCTTGTTGGCTCCTCGAGCGACGACATCCGCGCGAACACTACCGTCACTGTCCAGTAGGCGTTGTCAGTGTCCGAACCTGCAGCCTAGGGACAAAAAGGTTCCGTGGGGTGAACTTTGGCCAGCTTGAGGCCTCCTTCTCTGTACATATTGTGTAATGTTTGAATGACTGGAAAATCCAACGATGGAATGACACGCATTGAAGCAAAGTCTGCTAAACAAAACGCACTCGCCCTGCCCCTCTCTTCAGGTGATAGAAAACGACCCGTGTGAAGATGCCCGTGAGTAATCGCCCTCGGCTCGTCTTTCGGCGTCCGCCGGACTTGTGGACTTCATCCAAAGATGTGTGGTTTCTCTTTCGTCAGCCCCGTCTACACCACCACCACCACCACCGATTTCGCAGCATTCCGTCTCGGCCTGCCCTCCTGAATCGCCGTAGTGTTTCCAAAGTCAAAAAGTAGACAAGCTCATTGTGTTGCCGCCAACTAATGCCCAATGCCCCAAATCCCGCCAATTCATGCCCCCAAAATTGTTTCCGCTGCCGTTTCTCAATCCCTTTCATCTCAACTCTTTGCCATATGACGAAATTCGCCACGACCTCCCCCGTTTTGTGTTAACCCTTATCAATCATCCCGATTTGGAAATCACGTCGTGATTCAGATTACTCCTTCTGACAGCAAAAGACCAAAAGTGAGGCATGCCGTAGGGCAAGTTTGCCCGAATGAAACCACCCTCCTGACCGTTATCTCATACCTCCCATAAACAACATCACAAGTTTTTTGGTTCGGGCTCACAACCTCCCGGTTCGACTTTCTTGTTTTTTTCGTTTTAGTATCTGACCTGATGATCGTTGACCGTCGGCAGAATGCAAGTAATTTCAAAACGTCGGATGAAAATCGTTCCATGAGACCAAGCAGCAGCAGCAATAAGCAAGTAATGATATACAGTTGCATCAGTCCACGCAAGTCGTACGCAAGCCCTTTCGGATCACGCCGGAGCGGACAAGAAGGAAAGGGGACGCATAGAGAATGCAACCCTTTGTATGTCCGTCGTGTCAACTACTCAGCGATGTTGTTTGGTAACGAGAAATACAGGCTTGCTACAGGGCGGACGTGTAGTTCCGTGTTCATCAGACGCCAAGGCTCGAATTTGTAAGGGCTGTCGGTTTCTGATACTCGACGACCCAGACAAAAACCAAAAACCCAAAGAAACCCCACCGAAGATCCCGAACAACAGATGCAACGCACGGTCGGGTCAGCGCTCATCCAGAGTCCACCATGAAATGCCAAGCTGGCAAGAGCGGAGAGACTCTGGCTATTCGGCCTCGTGAGCAGACAGCAACTTTTTGAGAAGAGCAGAGGAAGCCAGACTGGACAGAGTTGATCATCGGTGCTTGACAACCTTGGCGCTAGCTGTGTCGTCTGCCCCTCCCCGCCCAGGAATCGCTTCATCTTGCCCTCGACCGACTCAGTTACTTTCTTATTCTCGCAAGAAGCCTAAACCCAGAAAGAAAGAAAAAAAGACTGTGCCTGCTTGGCTGGTCCGGTCCCCTCATTGACGCCTGCCAAGAAAAGCCAATCTCTCTTTTCCCCTCAACCCAACTTCCCCAGATCCTCGGTGCTTCCCGTCAAAGAGGCTCAAGATTTCGAGTCGAAAGAAAGTAGCTTCACTTTCAAGGTGCTGCGTTCGCCGCGATACCCGTCTGTGCCTCCTGCAGATACGCACCTAAGCATGCGAGGTCTGCTGCGTATGCGCCGCAGCCTACATGTACATGCCACACACTCGAGAAAAGGGAAACAAAAACTTCTAGAACCACCACCACCACACGCACCACCACACACCATCATCGCCGTCGATCTCTCCCATTCAACGTCCATGCTTTCTGGTCGCTGTTATTCTCCGGCGCACGCTGCCTGAACCCTCCCCCATGACATCCATCCCACTCTCTCCCCCGACCCCGGTCCCTCCCCCCCTCAAACCCCTGCCCCCTGTCTCTCTTTTCGTCTGGAGTCGCGGAGACGCATCCCCGGTCACCAAAACGTCTGGGGTGTTATTAATAGCGCCGCCAGACTCTCACTCGCACCACCAGCCTACCATCGCACGCATCTCGCAGAGACAGAGAGAGACGTCACGGCAGCAAGCTGCAATGCAATGTAGCGTTGCCCCTTGCAGTAGTCGCGCGCGGGAAGAAGGGCAAACGAAGGAGACAGAGGCAGAGGCGGCCCCCTCTCCCACTTCTTTCCCTCCGGCCCGTGTAATAACCTTATACAAGACATGGTTAAATTCCCGTGACAACCTTGAGTCCCCTAGCATGGTGCTGCAGAGAAGCTACGGTTGCACTGCCCCCCTTGGAGCGGAAACGCCATCCGCTGCGCTGCGGTCGATGACGGGAATGCCTGCTGCTGCAAGCTGAAGAGCGTAAAACAATGAGGAAGAAATGAAAGGAGGGAGTGCCCAAAACGAGCCCATCGCTTTATTCGCGGGTTGCATTTCCCCTTCGGACTGGCGGTCTGCTACTGCTACCACCACCATCACTAATACCACCCATCCCACTCACGCGTCGATGGCGGGCTACCCCCTGCGGCTCCCAGGCACGCCAACCCTTTCTCAACGTCGCTTCCTCCTTCTTGTGTTTCCTCTCATTTCTTGTGGTTTCTTATATACCGCCTAGAGTCAACCACTTCGTTTCCGCGAACCTGGCTGCAACATCGCATACAGTACACTCTTGGCATCTTGTCTTTGCTTCCCCTTTTCGTTTATTGTATCCCCCGGGCTTCACTGCCACTCTACTCCAGACGCCGTTCAAGTCTGGGGAAGAAAGTCTAAACGGGGTCATGAGGAGGAAATCGGTTATTTAATCCCTCCTCCTCGCCGTTGACGGGCCTTGATTGATAAGATGCTGTCGCTCTTCATCACATCGGCATCGGTGTCCTCGGGCTTTCGCGCCTGAGACGTCAGTCTGCTTTCATAGACGCTTACGAACCCACTCAGTGTAAGGGTGGGTAACACGACACGCGGAGAGGATCGCTCCCGTGCAAAAGACTTGGAGATCATATAAGTGTGGTATAAGACTTTGTGGTATTGATGCAATCTACTGTTTATGCCATGCCGCCCCCTTTTTGTCGGGGGAAAAATGCAACTATCGTACATGAGTATGCCTGGGTTCCATGCTTCTATCGTGCTGTTCGTGAATAACATTGTGTGCGCTCTCAAGTCATTAGCTACACTGTTAACTGCTCATTGAACCATTATCCCAACTGTTTCCGAAATAAACAGCGCCTGTGTTGCCGTACGCTCTTTCTCATGTGGTTGTTAGCTAGGAACACGCCACATCACTACTATTATACAAGGATCTTTGCCCAACCGCAGACTCGTGCGTTGGGGGGATGGGTGACGGAGATAGCAAGAATAACGAATGTGGATAGATTTTGTGAGAAACCGCTGTCGGTAGAGCCCCAAGCAGTCCTTTCCCTTGTGATTTTCATGACAAAATCCGGCGCAGCATTGAAGATAACGAGCGTTCATTCTCTGCTATCAAGTCCTGTCGAGTCGTAGAGGTGGTGATTGCGCCGTTCGATCGCCCGTCGGGTATCGTGGGGTCGTGGCTGGCGACTCGACCGAACTGGGGTTTGATCCCCTCGCGAGAGGCGTGTCCGAGGGAATCAGGGATGGTGAATCCCCATGGTTGTCGGTAATGGCTTAGGCGAAGATACCGACGATTGACATGCCAGCGGCTGCAAGAGAGTTAGCGGGGTTTGTGCGATGGTATGAGATGAACTGACCTCCGGCAAGAACGTAGCAGAACGCGGTGATCTTGTCCTTCTTGGTGAGGATGCGATTGGCCTCTTCAGAGAGGAAATCCTCAGCCAAGAGGTCCACCAGGGCAGCGTAAAGCAAAAGTCCGGAAGAACTGGTTGACATTAGCAGGCAGAGTAGCATGGGGCAGAGTCGTACTCACATGGCGTTGAAGACACCGACGATTATGAGACCAAAGGCACTGTCGGGGTCGTATGTGTTGCGGGTGGCGAGACCGATGGCCTGTCCGATGGGAGCGGTGGTACCGAAAGCAACGACCAGGACCCACGGACGGATGCTGCCCTTGGGGTAGGGAACAGCAGCAATACGAGAACCGAGACCAAGACCTTCGAACATTTGGTGGAAAAGAATGGCGACGAGAAGAATGATGAAGCCGTCAATGGTAATGGAAATGGTCATGCCGACAAACACCGAGTGAAACAGAATACCACCCTCAAGCATGGTAATGTTGAGAGACATCTTGCGATACACAGCGGGGTCAACGGCCTGCCCCTCCTCGTCATAGAACGGATCTTCCTGCTTGACCTCCTGCACAGCGACCTGCGAAACCTGCTTCTCCTGGGTTGATCGGATCATGTTCATCATCTCCATGCGCTGGCGCACATATTGCTCGTAAAAGACAACGAACCAAGGAGGCATGTCGGAATCGGCCAAGTTGGATGGCGGGGGCGCACCATAGGTGCTCTCCTGGTACGACGGGAACTTCTCGTCGTAGGCGCGCTGGGCGACCTTCTTCTCAAAGTCGATGCTGTCGGCCTCGGCGTCGAAGCTGTTACGTCCATAACGCGGCGGTCTAGAAGGCATTCCTACGGTCCCGTGATCGTGCGCGCCCCCATGATTATGCATGACGTCGCCAGTTGGACCGCCGTGCGAGTGACCCCCAACCTTGGAGTTGATCCACATCTCGATGGTGAAGAGGATGAACATGGAACCCATCATAATGGCGCCGGGCAGGGGAGGGTAATCATCGGTGAACAGGTCCGGCAGACACGGGTTCATGAGATTGCCAAAGGCGGTGGGAAGCAGCTGTTTTGCTGTTAGTCTCTGTCGACTGCCACAGCGGCGATGCACTTACATGGACGAATGCCGTTGCGATGAGCACACCAGTACCGAAATGCTTGCATGCGAAAAAGACCTTGGGAGGGACCTTCAACCACTTGACCTTCTTGGCCATCACGGGGAATCCAGCTCCTGCATCCACTCAGTTAGTTTCCGGCCCCACGAGATCCTCGTCGCTTGTTTTTGATTGCGTACCAAAGATTGAAAATCCCAAAACCAAGACTGCGCCAAGTTAGCCAAGTTGTTCGGTCAGGTGATGTTCGCCAGGTTGCGACTTACAAAGACCGGCGACGTGCAGACCGACATCGTACTCGCTGGTTCCGCCCTTCTTGCCGCCGCATTGCGGCTTGGGCTCCTTCATACCGTCCATCTTGATTAAAAATGGTAGTTTTTTGTTTTAAAAGGGACTACTACTTGATTGGTAGCCCCAAAAGAAAAGCGAATTGAAGTTGAGAATGGAAGGGACAGCCAATTGTCCTGGGCTGCCTAATAACGACGACTCATTTGAGAAAGGAATGTTACTGAAAACAAGGGGACACGAGAAACCGTCCCGCGGCTTCAGTATGAATAGAACAGACGAAAAAAAGTGCTGATCTAGTCCCCGCTGTCGTAATTGTCGAAGAGGGCAAGGAAGGAAAAAAAGACAGGACAAGAAGAGAAAGGAAAAAAAGGAAGGAAGAAACGGGCGCAATAAGAATCGAACGAGACCTGACGCTCTGTGGCGAGCAGAAAAAAAGGCTTGGGCAAAGTCTGGGCTCGACTTGCTTTAATATGCTTCATGTATGACAGCCCGCGCAATGCTTCCCGCGTGGAAACGGGTAGGGCAAGAATAAACGTCGACATGGGACAACAGCCCTTGCGCCAGTACCGCCCGGCCGAATCAGAAATAGAAGACTGCGGCCAGGATGAGGCAGCTGAGGAAAGGGACCTTGTGTGGGTTCGCGATGGGGTACGTGGCTGTAGCGTCCGCCTTGCGGGAAGCGGGAGGCGGGAGGACCTGAGTGGGAACAAGGTTGTCCGTGGGACGCGGCCGTGAGCATGGGGCGGAGGCGAGGGAGAGGGTCACGATGAGGACGAGGAGGATAGGCTAAGTCAACCACGGTTCAAAGGTGCAGTTTGCTGCGGTGCCTGAGACCCAGCTTGTCTCTGGGCATCGATGATCCCAGGCGTCAACCGGATCCGATGTTGGCGGATTGTTCGATCATGTTTCTCGTTATAGCATGATTTGCCGGCAGAACGAGACTGGGAGTCTGAGAGCCCGGCTCGACCTGACGGACTGGAAACGAATTGGTGGGCGGATAGACGCGGATTGGAGGGTAGGTTGTGTCTATCGGCCGCAATTCGTCTCGACTTGTTCTGCCACCGTTGCCGGCCAGCGCTTGGCGTTGGGCCATACTGCATAGCATGTTGCTGTATGGTTTGGTGTAGTCTTAGTTGGCGCGAATGATGAACAGCCATCCAAAACGAGACGACGGTCGATCTTCCATCGGGAAGTTGCCAGCCCAGGACAAAAGACGACGCAAGAGAGCACAGCAGACAGGGGTGTGGGACGTGGGGTGCGCGTCAAATGGGGCTTGCCGGCATATGAAAAATTTGGGTTGTGTGAAACGGGAGGTTCCCGGGGTCTGCGTCCAGGGTCGCCAGTCGGAGAATTCTTAAGTCGATTTGACTCTGGAGAGGCGTCTGTCCCTGGCGCTGGCGGCGCGGGGGCGGCTGGAGGATGGAGGAGGCGGAGGAAGGGGATGGCTCGGCGGGACAGGCACAACCGTTGGAGCCAAGAGCCGAGCCAAGAGGCCGCTGACACGCTTGGCTGCCATTCTTCGTTGTCGAAGAAATTAAGCTTGGCGGGAGTCTCCTCTCTGCGAGATGGCCACCTGCCTTAGCCCCCGAGATCGTGTGCCTGCATCCGCACTCGCATCTGCCGCTGTTGCTGTTGCTGTGGCTGTTGTTGCAAGTGTCTGTTCTTCGAGGTGGCCCAGCAGCACAAGACAGCAGCCGCCGCAGCACCCTTGACACTGACCTTCTGGCGTGCTTCTTTTTCGAGTTCACATCAGCGCTGGCGTGGGTCTCTGCTGGGTCTCTCTGCGTCTCCTGTGTCTCGTCTCACGTGCTGAGTTGCCTAATCGGCGGCTGGGTGAGGGGCAGGTTTTGGCGGTTTACCTAACAGGCGACGATCGGGGTCGGGGCTTAGTCGGAGGCTGATGCATCACAGCTGATGGCTGAAGCTCTCGAGGCAGGCGACTGACTCTGAATGGGCTCACAGATGGGATGGGATGACATGCTGGAGGGCAACTGTCGTCAATGGTCGCGCACATCGGGTTTCTGGGCAAGGGCAGCTCAAACCTGGAGAGCCAAGGAAAAGAGGGAAAAGAGGAGCTTCTCGCGGCGTCTGAGATCAAGCGAGGCTGGGCGCAGCGAGGACGAGACGACGTATCTGTCGATGTCTGGGACGCTGGAGACGTGAGTGTGTGTGTCCGTTTGTTCTTGCAGCTTTTGGGAGGAAGGTGTGGTGTGTATAGCAGAAAGGATGGAGAAGCAACTATTGCATCCGAGAGCGTGATGCAGAAGAGAAGGCGGAGACGAAAAGAAGTGGAGCCATTGCGTCGGTTGTCGTTCATTCTTGCTTTCCGAGGAAACAAACATGCAAGACGTCCCGAGCGCTCAGCTACCTTGCCTCGAGTAGGCTTGACTTTTGGACTCATCAAACTCAACCCGAGTCTCGTGTGTAGCTCACAGACAGGCAGGCCAACAGGAGGCTCTGGATTACGCTACGGCTACTACGTAACTTTTGTCATCAGAACCCTGCCCGCACTACTGAAGTAGGTGGAGGTGCCTTGGGAGCCTGTAACAGCCCCAAACTCTTGGCAGAGCACTCCATGTGAGGGTCGACTTCCTGTATCGGTGTACCCACGCGGCACCTGGGGCTGCCGTTCGGTGTGAAACAGCCCCGCCCGGCACCTCACAGCCAATGGCGCCCAATCACGGCGCCCGCTGCCCGCTGTGCTCGGATCGCAGTCCTGATCGTCCTCGACTCTGTCTCTGTCATCCATGCGCCATCACAACAAGCACATTCGTCGTCGTGACATGCTCTTGCAGGGACACGTCGACCTTTTTGTCTCCAGGCTAGCCCAAATGTGGTCCGTTACTTCACTCGACTCCGCCTGCCGCCTACGATCGCCCCTCGCTTACACTTTACTCGACCCGGCTCGACTGTCCAAGACCAGGAACACCGAAATAGATGCCCCCTGACCGACGAACCTCGTGCCCCATCACCGCCCTTCAACTGGCTGGATGCTCGACTTTTGCAAAGAAACAACCGGCAGACCGCGCTGAGAGACCACTCAAATCAAGAAATCTTGCCGTCATCCTGCCAGGGGCTGTTGTTTCCCCCTCTTTCTCGACACGTTCTAGCCCGCCCGCACATTGCATTGAAGAGCTTACTGTTAATCGTCCACGTAAGAAGGGGCCGTCCATCTCTTGCAGCGGGCGGCGGGTTACCTCCCCCGGCGGATGCGGAATGCGGAGGCGGCTCATCAGAAGCAAGCATGGCATTACATGAAAACCACATACCTTTCAAATAGCATAGCATGGCACGGCATGGCGGCCGGATCTGTCTAATATATTACTCCCACTCGCAAATCGCGGCCTACCCGTTATTCCTCATCTTCCCTTCTACTGCATAGTACCAAGAACAGAACCCAGCTCAATAGCTTCCCGAAAATGCAAACTCCACGCGAGTCCCGGGCCAATGTTCAACCACCGTCCAGTACGTGGGTTTCGCCTTACCTTTCTTTCCTGCCCACCCCCTTCACCCCCCTTTCCACTCACTCCCCTTGGCCTTGCCCTGCCTTGTCTGTTGCCTCGCACTGCTTGACTTGGCCTCGCCTTCGCCTCCCCTCGCTCCTACCCAATCACTGGGCGCTGTGGTTGGTTCATCACATCCTCGCTGAGATGTGCGACGCCTGCTGCTGCTACTCGCATCGGATTGCCCTGCCCACTGACCACCGCTGGCCATTGCTTCATCCCACTACACCATCGACCACTCGACCGCTGACCATTTGCTTCAGTCACTTCATCTCGAGGCAACTCTGTCGGTGATCTGAAAAGTGATCCGAAAGGTGAAGCCAACAGTGAACCAAGCCAACACCTTAAAGACAACCAGGACATCATCACACCCGTCCCAGCCTCTGGCACGGACGACAAAGCTGTCACAGAAGGGCTCTTCACTTCAACTACGAATGACACAGCCGTTGACAAGCAGGACGCACGAGTCTCGTCCAACACTGACGGGGCCGACACCTCCACCGTCGACACCTTCTACCGGCCCGACCCCTACGACTTTGGCCGACACCGCCGTGACAATGTCTCCAAGAAACAGATGAAGATTGAGCATCCCAAGGGTAACAAGAGGAAGCTCTCAAAGTTCTACACCCGCCAGAACGAGCTCATCGACCAGTTCCTGGGCGCCGAGGATGAAGAGAGGCAGCAGGTCGACGAGGATGCGCGGATGGGCCCCAAGATCAAGTTCGCCGTCAACGCATCCTTCACCGTCAACTTCTGCCTCTTTGTCATTCAGCTCTATGCCGCTGTCTCAACCGGGTCTCTATCGGTAAACAGGCACCCAAGACCCTGTGCTCACGGACTCTCTGTTGACTCGTGAAATCCAGCTGTTTGCCACTGCAGCCGACGCTTTCGTTAGTAGACCGTTTTTCCCTCGGTGAGGTGTTGGTGTAGAGGTTGACCAAGAGATGCCCAGATGGACCTCGTCTCATCCTTTGTAATGCTTATCACGTCGAGATTGGCAGCCAGGCCAAGCGTTTACAAGTACCCGGTGGTGAGTTACAACACGTGCGACACCTTGGCAGTAGGACATCCGGGGTTGACAGAAGGGGTGGAAAAACTAGGGACGAACCAGGATTGAGACGATTGGCATCATTCTCTTTTGCGCTCTCATGACCACGGTCGCTATACAACTGCTGGTAAGTTGCCAAGTGACGGTTTGGCTTGGTCGGGTTTGGAGATGCTGATCTGGGGATAGGTCGAGTCAGGCCGTGCTCTTGGCGAGGGCAAGCGGGCCTCTGAGGAGCTGCACATCATCCCCATCGTCATCGTCGGCGTTGCCATCTTCGCCAAGGGCTCCTTGATGTTGTATTGCTTTGCCTACCGAAAGTACCCCTCGGTGCATGTCTTCTTCGTACGTGTCGTCCCATGAGTCCAGTCCGTTCAGATGACAGATGGGCTAATAATAGCGTGTGTAGATTGACCACCGCAACGACATTGTCGTCAATAGCTTTGGTCTGATAATGTCCGTGGTGGGCGATCGCTTTGTGTGGTATCTGGACCCGATCGGCGCCATGTGCATTGCCCTGCTTATCCTGTTCTCGTGGGTCGCAAACGCCTTTGAGCAGGTCTGGCTCCTGGTCGGAAAGTCCGCGCCAAGAGATTTCCTCGCCAAGCTGACTTACATGTCAATGACCCACGACACTCGGATTCTCAAAGTCGACACCGTAAGTTGGGCATTTGCCAAGTAACAATGAGGCCGTCTGACAATGAAGCAGTGCCGGGCGTACCATGCCGGTCAGAAATACTACGTGGAAATCGACATCGTCATGGACGAGGCGACCCCGTTGAAGATTTCTCACGACGTGGCGCAAGAGCTGCAGAGAAAGGTCGAGGGTGAGTCGTGCCGCTGTCGTTGACTGGGGCTACAGAGCTGACACGCAATGCACAGGACTCGGCGATGTCGAGAGAGCCTTCGTCCACGTTGACTACGAGGACCAGCACAACATCCAGACCGAACACAAGGCATTGTACGAAAAGGTCGAGAAGAAGCCCAAGAGGACGCTGAAAGAGATCCTGCTGCGGACGAAGAAGGACACTAGCAAGGTGGTCGAGACGGAGATCTCGAGCGGGCGAAACTCGTCCTGAGGAGAGAGACTGAAGGGAAGGGAGAAGGCCTGGAGGAAGGAAACTACGAGTAATAAAAGCGAAGAGGCTGGGCGTTTGGGCCGCAATAATCTGGTTTAATCTGTTTTATCTCTCTCTCCACGATGGTCGTTCCAGCAAGGTTGTCGACTCGACCCGTGTCGACCCCGGCCGCCTGCTGCACACCACAGCGGGAACAGACGGGAACAAGCGGAACAGACAGTCCCGCCTGCGACAATCATGGAGCCACAATGGGCGATGAGGTCTGCTCTGCGCAGAGCGGCATCGGAAGGACGTGAAACAAACATGGGGGGACCGACGACAGATGGTGCATCCTGTAGAAAAGGCATACATAGAGGAAAACATCAAGAGAAACGTAATGATTTTGAGCTCTGCAGAAAAGGACCCACACGGGTATCGTCGTTTGTGTGTCCCGGACCCTTCTGAGGTGCGCATGCATGCATTGGCGACGATGGCGGGCTGGCATCAAGAGATACGAGACACGGCGGTGTAAGCTGGTTTACGTCTGGTCTCCCACGTCTGCGTCGTGAAAGATGCTACGCTGCGCGAGCTAAAATCCCCAGCCAAGCTCAAGCGACAGACTTGGCGGTGGAAGGCAGTATGAGACGGCACAGCCAAGCAGTTTTGTCGTGTTGTAGTCTTTCTGCTCTTTCCCCGGCCGTCGAAAGGCTTGGCTACGCGCCTTTGCTCGTCGACCCCGGGCTTGGCTTGGCGGGGCGATGATGGGAAGACGCAAAAGCGAGGGGGGGCAACAGAAGAGCACGGATGATGGCTGAGGAGCAGGCCCCCCATGGTGTATGGTGGGACGAAAGGAACGTGCGGGTGATGGCTTCCACGTCGATCCAGGGGTTCTCCCACTTCCCATACCCGGCTGCGGTCACTCGCCGTGGGTCGGGCTGTCTCAGCTCTCGACTGTCGTCGAGTAAGCATAACGGGGCGCCGGTGTGCGCTGCAAGGTCCAACCGAGCAAGAGACTCTGAGAAGTGAGGCTGCCATCATGTTTTCCAGAAGCATTGCCGCGGATAACGAAAAGAAAAAGAAAACAGATGAAATTTCATGGAAACGGCTTTGGCAGATGCAACGGTCTAGCTCTTACCAGTCTCGTCTCGCCTGATATCTCATACTAGACGTCGACTGACGTTGTTCGCCGTTGGCTCTTGTGCTGGGTCGACTGGATGAGGTGACTGCGGGGGCCGAGGAAGCCGTCGGACTTTTCTCTTTCTTTCTCGTCCAGGGATTCACATCAGCCCGAGTATCAAAACTGTGATCATCGATGATGGGTCTGCGTCTGACGCGGCGGGCCATGCTCGCCGCATGTCCTCGCAGCCTCAGCTCGCATGATCTCCCGCTTATGTTTCGGCAGTGGTGCCTTTTACGTTATGACTGTCGAAAACACCATTGCTATGCCGTTATAGCCGACGATGTCTATTTCTAGCAAACGAAAAGGCATTCTAGGGCCAACTCAAAGGGGTTTTGCTATCCGGGCGTGTAGTGGGTATAGACAACACTGGGGACAACGACGACGATAACGATGACGGGGACATTAGGAACGATAGAAAGTAGAGGTTTAAGAGAAAGAAATAAGAAAAGTATCAAGAGCTAGACGGAATATAGCCAGTTTTTCGCCCGGATAAGCAAACTCACTTAAAGACCGCGCGGCTGCCCTACGCGTCAGACTCAGACATATCGCCTGTGAAGCCGACATGCCTGATCTCTCACAGCATTTTTTGAACCCGGCCAAACACTGACACCTTCAGAAAAGCTACTAGCCATACTTTAGTCCAGTGGCAGAGTAGAACATGATTCAAAGACTGCTCTTGAGGCCTCCTTGAGCTTGAAGATTGAGTCTGGGATTTGTTTCCATCTTGAGGCTGAGAATCCGCGTGCGGGGTGGTTAAGTTGGGTAGCGGGGGACCTCATGCTGAGCAATCTCAAGGATACAGGCTATGGTGGTGTATTGGCGTAGTATGTTTCTTTCTTCACTCAAATTCAACAACTACTCGTAGAACCCTGGGAGCTTTCGGGTAAGGATTTCGCTCGGCATAGCTCATGGCTGGCCGAGGATGTCGAGTGCTTTTGAGGCGATTAGGAACTGCCCCCCCTACGCCAACTTTGAAGACAAGTAAAATAGCATACAACGTATTCGATCATTTCTCATCACCTTCGAGTGATCAAGCTGTTGCCGTGAGTCTCTGGGCGGGCGTTATTAAGCTCCCTATCGCGAAGTCTCTAGTGCAAACAAGAACGCACTGCCGGTCCAGGAAATGAATCATGATTGAGAGCAAGTGAAACCGAATGTACAAATCACCATGCCCTGGCAATAAGCACCGATTTCTGCACTTATTTGAGAGTCAACCGCAGCTTCCGTTGAATTAGCCTAAAACGGCAATACCGGCCGCCCCGGTACCGGGTAGGCCCATAAAACCCGGAAGGCGGGGCCGTCCAGAACCGGGTCTGTGCGCCCTATCTCCGGCCTGAAAAAAATCGGAGAAGGACCAACTCTTATCCGGCGCAACGCCAAAAATTGGGAAACACCATCCCGTTACAGCAGAACGCTTCAATCGACGACGACGACGACGACGACGACAACGACGACAACGACGACGACGCCGCCGACCGACTTGACCGGCAAAAGTTTGAGCGAACGAAAGACGGAGCGCAGCCAATTGAGCCCAGCTGCTCCTCCAACAGCCCCCGGGAAAAAAAAGGGGAGGAATCATTATCAGCCAACCACCACCCAGTCCGAGCCGCGCCCGCCCACCATGAGGCCCTCCCCGATCCTCCAGGTGCTCAAGTTCAGGCACATGCGCCTGACGACCAAGGACGTCAACAAGGGCTTCTACAAGGGAAACCGTACCGGCTCTATGGGTGAGCACACCAAGTACGGAGGATACAAGATCGACTACAAAAAAGTGCGGACATACGTCGTCCCCGAGGGCCTGAAAAACTTCAAGGTGAGTTTCTGCAGGATTTCCATCGTCACACACCATACGGCGGACCAAGCGCGGCAATTGCTAACGTAATCGAATGCCCCGCAGCTCACTCCTTTTGTTTCCGAGCAAGTGAAGCCTATAAAACGAACGTACAAGAAGACCAACAACCCCGCCGGACCCCGCGACCCAGCACTGTTCCTCAACACGTGGAAGGAGAAGAACGGGTTCGACTGATTTGCCAGGGCCGACGCAGGATGGCACGAGTCAAGCGACGGGGAGAAATTGGACAAAAGCCGCCAGACGAAGCTGTGCCAGCGCACAGCGAAAGACGGCTGAGTCGCACAAAAGTTGTATATACCCTTGAAGCATTGTAACAATATGTAAAACGATTGCACGCCCAGCTTCGCTAAACTATACGCTGGGGACATGCGGCACGTGAGGTATGCAAGATTCATCCAAAACTTATTTATACACATTAGGGTATTGCTGGTCTGGTCCGCGTGAATCACGCCGTCTGCTCAAACCCGCCGTTTGCAGCCTCTTTGCCCTTGCCCTTGCTGAGGGGAAGATCCTCCGCCGCCGTTACGAACTTGTCCATGGGGGGTCGCTCACTCTCGCCCGCCGGGGTTGGTTCAGGAGAAACCTCGGTGGCCTGGCTGTCCTGGACTTCTGAATTGTTGTGGTCTTGGTCCATGGGCGGCATGGGGCTGATGGGGCGGCTGTCGGCGCCGGACATCAACGTCATCATGCTGGCCGTCTCTGCGTCCTTCTTGCCGAGGCTAAATGGCAGAGCGATGCCGTCGAGGAACGGTCGCTTACCAGCCACCCCGGTTCCAGGCACAAACTCCGGACTGAGGTGGTCATTAGCCTTCTCCTGCTCCTTTCTCTTCTCGATGAGAGCAGCGACGGGTGTCTCTTCCACGTCGGTAGCCTGAGAGTCCTGGACCTGAGAGCTGGTGTTCTGTGACGTCTGGTGCTCGTCGACAACGACGCGCCGCTTGCTACCGCTTCGCTGGATCGGTGCCGGGTCTTGCTGCTCTACGTCCTGGAACGACCTGGCCCCCTCGCCGCCTTCTTCCCTCGTCATGGACGTCTTCGCCCCCGAGTCCGCCTTCTTCTCTCTCTCCATCGTCATCTCGTCGTGCTTGGATCCCCAGAGCGACCACAGAGCCAGACCCAAGCTCTTGGTTCTCTTGCGGTCCAGCAGCTCATCCGTGGCGCGGCGTCGCCCAGCCAGCGCGGTTGGTGGCGGCTTCTCACCGTCACCAAAGTCCACGAACCCGGCCGCCATATCCTTGATGATGCTTTTGTGCACCTTGGCCTTGGTGCCGGAGAACTTTTTATCAAACACAGCCTTCGTCTGAAGCCATCTCTTGACGGGCGTGGGCCTAACGACGCCAACCTCCTCCTGCTTGATAGTGCAGCCGGGCAGCTCTGATTCGGGAGCGAGGTCGTGGACCACGCCATGCCGGGTGATTCTCTGCCGAATCATGTGCTTCTTGAATGGCGGCAGCGGCATACCCGCTTTGCCGACCTGCTGCGGGACAGACTCGGAGCTCTCTCCCTCTTGCGGCTTATCAGACTCGGACGCTGAGCTTGAAATCACGCTAATGTCATCGTCGTCCAGAATCTCAATCTCCGTCTTCTGGGCTCTCGCCAGCGCCCAGGCGCCAAACTGCGCGACGGCTCGATACATGTACTTGGCCGGACGGGTAAAGCTGAGTGTTGGGGCAACGTGGCAAAGGTCGTCCCACACCTGGAGCTGTACGTCGGTGGGCTTGTATTGCTCGAGTTGTCGCATAGCTGCCTCGTCGAGGTTGGGGGGCGTGTACTTGGAGGGGTTCGCGCACTTGTGGGCGAGATAGATCTGCTCATCGCGGAGCACCTCGCCTCCTCCGACCATGATCAACAAAGGGGGAAGGCCGCCGAGCGTGGGTTGCATAATGGGGCTAACCATCGGATGGGACAGAAGAGCATTCGTCGTGTACATCTAGAACAGTCAGTAGTGTCCCTCATGAACCCGAAACCACCAACCTGAATTTGATCCTT